ACTCAGAGGTTCGCCTGGCGTAGCTTCGCCAGGCGAACGCCAGCACTGGCGAAGGTTTTAAAAGTACGGGCCTAAGAATGAAAATTGTGTGTAAAAAGTAACTCGCTACATAAAGGTGGAAGATTTCTCCAGTTCCTAGCCTAGAAAAGGCTGGCATCGTTCTTATCCCAGTGCCAAAGAAGCATCTCTCTTCATGCCTTGCCAAAACAGTTGAGGGCCAAGTTTGCAGTGTTTCTGCTGTTGTTGTATGGAGACATTTGAGCAGGTCTGATTAGTGAACCAATAAAGAGAGGTCTGTTGGGGTCGCCTTTCAAGGCCATTATCAAAATGTTGGCCGCGCCTCAGTCGGAGGCCTTCAACTCAACCCTTTCAATACCCTTCCGCAAATATCATATAACATCAGTATAGCAGATGTTATACTGATGTGGTAGCAATATTCTCCATTGTGATGCAACCTGTCGAAATGAACAATGTATGCTACACTGCATCCGTTAGGATTGCTCCCGAATGAGCTGAAGGATCCAGTGGCCAAAGAGAAGGCTAAGGCTTCGCGTCTCGAATTGAAACTGCAGTAGAGCGTGAGTCTTGGCTCACAGTAAGTCCATTCGGCAGGTTATACAGGTTTGAGTGAGCCCACAAGGAGTAATCTCACGCATAAAAAACAATGTTGAGGCCAAGCATCGGACATGATTTCCATCACGTGATGAAAACTAAACAATCTAATTTTGCAATTACAATGATTGTGTCAAAATATATCACTATCCGCTAATTAGAAAAACCCTGAGCATAACGTACCGAGAGTAAAGCTCTAGAAGCAAGGAGGACTACTCACACTTGTCTTTTTGTGTGCAGCTGTTTGAAGTTAGATGCTATACATCAATTACCATAGACATCTGGCAACAGTCGGATGATCAGGGATTTACATCCTTAAAAAGTCACATATCTAATCATGAACTGATTTTTCAATCTATCTGTTTACCGAATTTTTGTGCGTCTGTCTACGTGAGGTCTACGTGAGTCTTCCTTTTCTCTCTCCACTCATCTTTTATATTTCTTTTTCCCCTTCTGTTTCCCTGTTTGCCTTTATAAATCTGTATGTCACTCTTCCTACATATGGTTTCCCTACTTACTTCTTATTTATTTCTGGAATTACTTTTGGATCGTCTGTGGCCAAGAAGATCCTCCGTTGAGCAACAGGCTGTCGCAACTCCAGCTGTTTGTAGAATTCATCCACTTCTTGCATGTACACACTGAGGTCAATGTAAACTGCCTCTCTTATCAGCTTGTCAGACCGTCGAATCTGCAAGCTGAAATGTGGGGAAGTAAAACAGCCTCTATGTATAGAGAAAATAGCGTTTGATTTGAAAACTCAGAAGACGGCAGCACCAAAAGGAATACTCGAAGTCAAATAACATAAATATACAGCTTAAAGCTGAAAGACAAAATTACAACGCAATCTATGGAAGACCATATAATAAGGGGAAGCCTTCCATAGACCACTGGCTGATACCCAAGTTAAATCTGCCTTTGCTGTTTTTTAATTGATAAGTACGACGGGTGTTTATACCAACGTTTATGCGTGGCGTATGAACCTCATTCATATGTCAAATGTCAATCTTGGGAATATTCACCCTACGACAGGAGACTCGTAACCATTTTTCTCGCGCTTGGTTATCAATGTAATCCTGGAAATCCTTGTTCGTCCTCATGGCGTACTTGAAGAACTGGCCCATCCACCAGGCAAAAGGATCTCCGTGGAGGCGCACCAGACGCTCGGAAATGTCCTTCGGGATTGACTTCGGAAAATAGTTCGGCCTCGGATTCGGTCTGTCCATACTCGGGAAACGCACCACGAGCGAATCTTTCTTCCCTGCAAGCAGAATCGTGGGAAGGGAACTCCTAAAAGAATCCTATGGGCTTTCGAAAAATATTCTATCACAAAAGTACATCAAAGGTTTGGGGACATCAAATTACATTATTCATGCTTAGGAACTACTTTATTGTCAAGTCTAAGACCCTTCAATTGTTTCATCACAGAAAGACTGAACAATCAACAGGGCTTTTGCATGCCCTCTCACCTGGCCAAGCAACCATCTGAGACTTGTTGTAACTTGTGCAAGTGTCGCTGAGAGGAAGGAAGAACGTCTCGAGTCCTTCGGGATTGCCATTGTAATTCTTCGTATCTAGAATCAAGGTCCGCTGAGTGCCATATGACGCCAGGAAGCAGTAGCTCAGGTGGTGTAGTTGGCTCCCTATCCTCTCGCCCTGTAATTGGCGCATAGCCCACAGTATATCGTAGAAAGTGTTATTTTCGAAGAGCTATTACACCACACCACAACCACACAAACACTGACACATCCCACACACACCACACACACACACCACTCCCGCCGTACCTGGACCCACACACACACACACAACACACACACACCACACCACACACACACAAACACCACCACACACCACACACGATAGTCCACACCACCGAACAGTCTGTCACAAATAGTTCGAACGAAATTATCACACCTACAAACACCCATCTATACACTGCCGAACTTCATCCACCTTACACATCTTTTACTTTACTACTCTATAATCGTTCACTCCTTGCTCATAACCTAACCACGCCCTCTAATATTCCTCTTCGCCCCCTCGTGCTCTCTTGTTTCTATTACTCCTAATCGTGGAGATATTACCAGACCGAACGGAACGAGGGCAGAAACCCAAAATACTTCCACACCCCTATATTCTGCTTGCATACACTCCTACTCTTCACGCTCGCGCACTTCGCTTCCTAACTACTTTCTTCACTAGTAAACGCACGGCCTTCCTTCCTTTTTCTTATGATGTAGGGCGCACGCGTTCTTGCGGTGAATCATTACTCGCAGGCCATTCGCCTCTGGCAAACAGAAGACTTCCTTCACTCATCCTTTCATTTCTTCCCCAACGCGTCTCGGCTACGTTGACCACTCTCTTGCCCCTCATTCAACCTTTCCTTCCCAGCCGTATATCCGAGGCCGGCGCTCTTTTCGCTCTTGTATCCCGATCCGACTCTCGCCACCCGGTACAGCGGCCTACCAGCCGTCACCTTTCTCTATCCTTTCCTCCTCCGTTATTTACCCATCCCTCTTTGCCCAGACAACCCGTCGACCTCAGTTCTAAGCACGCTCCGTTAGGTCCGTCGACGCACGGCTTCACTCTCCTGACAACCGAGGAACTCGTCACGACTCTCAGCCCTCATTTCCCACAGAACACAGCCTAAGCGACTCTTGCGTGTGGATTCCTTTGGAATCTATAATAAATCGACCAAGATAACCTCCCTCAACATGTAGTCTGGACAAAAATTTCAACTCAGGTACTCTGCCCACCAATCACGCAATACACAAGGTACTTTTCCACTCACTCACAAACTGGCTTCTTTTCGGTGACATCGCGAATTTCCAGCACTATAAGATTAACTTCATTCATCAACACACGTTCAAACAAGAAAGATAAAATGAATGTCTACCTAGCAGAGGCATTCGCATCATACCAATACCAATCCTATACTCCCGAGCTCTCCTCCCTCATTTACGTTCTCCCTCTCCCAGTGGCTTGCCGCTATTCCCACCCGCTAACCTCGCTATAGTAGTATTACACATCCTCAGACTATGGCCCGCTACAGGGTTTCCCTACGGAGGATGATTGACCGCACCTAAATTTGGGAACTGACCTAAAAGTAATGTTCCAGGATCTTACAAGAACGGTGGTAAGATTGTTATTCCGCTAGAGCTTGAACACGCATTCCTGAGATGAAGAATTTCAGCAGACGACCATTGGTGTAAGACGCAACGTGCCTTCTTACCCAACTTGTTCGACAGCATGACTGAGAACTCCCAGGCCTCCATCCGAAATTGGCCTACTGAGCATACTAGCGGAAACACAGCTTGCAATAGGCACGACTTGGGTGCGTCTGGGGTGAAATATTTAATTTACACACTGCTCTTGATATCGTGCATGCAGACCTAACATACAATTAAATAGCACAACAAGAACAAAAAATAGGAAACCCTAACTCGATAAACAAACGACACTTAATGCAAAACACATAATCAAAATACACGGATATTTAATGTAGCTCCTGTAAGAAACCAGACAACATATTTACACGTTACTTTGTCTCAACTCACTCACCAATTATACAACATGTAATGGATACGTAATGCCCCATCTTCTAATTCTCCAACACTTAATACAAGGAAACACAACCTACACACACACACACCACCAATTCTACTAACAAACCACACACTCCACAATATCACATACATTCACCTTATAGATAAGAGGGAATTCACACCAGGACACAAACATGATATTAATAATTATCTTATAATATATATTTATATATAAATAAATATAACGTATATATATACTATTATATACACTATCATATACACATTTACAATTTCAATCTCTCACGATATGCAACATGTAAAGTTGCCATACTACTTCTTACGTGGTCTAACATAAGATCTTGGTTTATATTTTGTAAGATACTGTACAAAACAAGCTTTGAATGGATTTTATTGGAAAACGTTTACTGGAAGTCTGGCATATCGCTTATTTTGTATTCAGCACTATAAAGAATGTCAATGACAATATTAAGCGAAATAAGTTATCATATAAAATTATGTACAGTTATTGGGTGTGTAGATGAATCAGGGTTGGCATTTAGTGCTGGGCTTGAGGGCTTTGTGAGCTAGCAAGGGGAGAGCGGGAGGCATGACGTCCAGAGTCAACCACAGGTTATATAGCCCAGAGAGAATCAGATTTTGATACTCGGAATTCCCCCAGTAAATCTCTATACATTGTTTTACAATAGCTCAGATCATGCAATAAAAGTAACAAAGGGGGTGAGTTGCATTAGATATTGTTATGAATGTAATAATATAACCAATCTTAACACTCCCCGATATATCTGTGCACATCTTTCTTAAGCACAACAGTCTTCTCACCGGCGATACTACTACGTCAAACTTAGCCAATTTCTTTGTTTGTAAGTAGAGAATCCATATTTCTCGTTCGCACTATCCTAATTGTTTCTTTAATCCATAATATTTAGTAATTTGACAAACATCCTAATTTTTGGAGATGAGTTCTATTTATTTCAAAAATCACTCTAAAAGTATCCAAGTGCAATATTTATAACTGTGATATTGATTATATTGTGTTATAAATCATAAATTAAAATAATTAAAACTAAACAATATTGACGCTTTCGTTTAATCGCGACCTACTACAAACAATTGTTAGCTTCTTTGAGGAATAGATAGTCAGACTACTAACCTCATTATCATTATATTTATAGCAATGTATAAGATTTTTTTAATTAGAGATATTTCTTCTGCTCGCCATAACGTAACACCGCAGATAACGCAGAAGTCAAGAAGTACAACTTGAATCTCGCGTGGATCACGTCACGACAGGTTACCACTAACATTTCGAAGGTATTATGAACGCATAAAATCCAAAGATTATGGTGCAGTTCGGAACTGTCGTCGCGACTACAATAAATCCTCGGTCCACGAACGCAATCTGCGCAACTTATGTTTTTGCAGAAGACCGTTCGCGCAACCTCCCCACTATCATTTCGCCCTCCCCATATCTGCGGAAGGTGGCCGAGCAGGCGAAGACGGAGATTAACGTCACTAAATAGAGTTATGTCTGTGTAAAACATATGGACAGTATAGACAAAACGGTCATATTACTTTCACAAGACTCTTGGGTGGGTAATTTATATGACCCTAATTCGCTGTTGTCTATCTAAAGGATATTTTTGTGTTTGTCAGTTGCAGGTAAGTTAAATGTGCATCAACGGAGTTACAAAACCTATGCAGCGTGTAAAATGAAGACACCGGTATGCTAAAAAAGTGAATGTTTACATTCGAGCCTGTTGCATTCTGGGCAGAAATGGTCTTGAGGTTCCGAACGCGGCGCATCTCGTCCTGCTGGTCCTGGACAAGTTGTCTGGACGAGATAGACGAGCAGTTCCGAACGCAGCATTACATAGACCTTGCACACATGCAGACTAGCGGGGATCTGCGATGTCCCAGAGGAGGGAGGGGCGGGTCTTCTACGGAAGGTGGCAGGAGTGGCTTTCCTTGGATTTTTATTTCTTTATTTTAATTTAATTAATTTATTTCTTTATTTATTTTTAGCCCTTACGGTCATTGTTGGAGCACTTAGGGAGTAAAAATGTGTTTTTCTTCTTGGTGTGTGTGTGGGCAGGGGGGGGGTAATGCTGTGAACGTGAGATCAGGTGTAAGTAGGAGAACCAGGCTTTCAAAGTTGCAATGAGAAAACAAATACCCAGTATATCTTAATGCTGCAGAAGCACCCATTTCTGCAGAATAATGCGCATTGCCACACGAAAGTACACACGTTATTACATCATTCCACTGTTGTTGTTGTTATGATTGTTAATGTAAACATTATTTGCATTGGTAGTAGTAGTAGTATCATTATCAATCCCATTATCATATTATCACCATCCCTATAAATTATTTTATCATCATCCCTATCATTATTATTATCATTATCATCCCTTTCATCATCACCCTTTATAATATCCACCATCCCTATATATTAATCATTATCAATTTTCATTATATCATCATCCTTTTATTTATCTATCATCACCATTATATTATTATTATCATTATCATGCATCCTTTTATCATTAATTACTTATTACTTATTATATTATTCATATATTCACTACCATTATCTTACCACATTGTTGCCACGATCAAATCACCATAAATAAAACCGTTTATTATGATGTTGATCCACTGTGCTCCGTGTCCTGAAGAGCTGGAATAGAGGGCAAAAATGCGAATTTCACTGCTTATTCACTTGTTTATCCTCGCTTATTTTATATTCAATTTGCTTTTTTTGGCAGTTGACCCACTTTTGTAATTCATTTCTTTATTTATGCATTACCCTTACTTCATTTAACTTCACTTTATCAGCTCTCTCAGTTCACTTTAATGTTTTCCCTTGTAAACCTACTACTTCAACTGAAATTCCCGTGTTACTAAATTTTGTATATTCAGTTTCCTCCATTCAATTACCATTCCAAATAATACAGTGAAATATATTCACTTTTCTAATAATTATTCATAGTAATAAACACTTAACTGTTTCACTTTTCTGTACAGTACGCACATTGATCAATCTTACTCTCTCCACCTACAACTTCTGTACTCATTGATACTACCCATACTCTCGCATTGATTCTCTGAGTTCTACCTGGATGTATTCAACTCTCACGACATGTCAATTGTTTGTTATTCATATTTATTTCAAGCAGTCAGTCATTTTTATGCATTTGATCGCTCATTTTATACACTTGATGATTCTTTTCATTAGATTTAAATCATTCAAGTTATATACAACGTCATAACTCCAACTCTATTAAGAGACAATGAGTACTCCTTATTCATGGCCATGCACTCACATTGATAGATAGTCTCACTCACTTGCACTGAAGATTGAATCTCAGCCACTCCACTCCATTCCAGAGTAATCACACGCTACTTACATCTGGGCATTTTATAAAAGAACCGGAGTCGTCGTCGCGTAGAAAGACAAGGACAAGTAGGAGGCGAGACAACGCAGGCTCTTCAGCTTACCACTCTTGCCATCATTAAATACAAGGCAATGCACTTAGTTGGCATTCCAAGGAGGCGACAACCCCGCTACTTTCAGCCCGCATTTTGCGGTCATCTCGTTCACGTTTGCTTTGGCTGAAACGCTCTACAATATATATCAAGTGTGTCTATAGACTGTGCAGAACAACCCAAATATTCAAAGGCATTTAGAAACTTTAGTGAATCAGCTGATGAAGTGCAGCAATTAGTAAACGATCTGAATAGAGAAAGCCTAAAAGTCGGACTTAGGATGAGCAAGAAAAAGACTAAGGTTATGTTCAACAGCAGAGTCCCACTCAAACAAATACATGTACAAGGCGAAGCGCTAGAGGTAGTAGAAAGGTATATATACCTAGGACAACTCGTACAGACAGGCACATCCAGTGAACACGAAATAAAGCAACGAATCAGTCTAGGCTGGAGTGCCTTCGGCAGGCACAGTAGCACACTGAGAGGTTCCTTGCCATTGTGCTTAAAAAAAGTCTACCCAATGCGTCCTCCCAGTTATGACCTGTGGGTCAGGAATATGGACTACAACCAGGTTACTGGAGAGGAAGCTAATAAGCGCCCAGAGAGGGATGGAAAGATCGATGATGGGAATTAGCTTGAGAGATCGGAAGAGGGCGACGTGGATCAGAGAACAGACGAAGGTAGATGTACTCGGGAGCATTTAAAAGAAACAATGACATGTATGTCGGAGACAAGACGACAGTGGACAAAAGAAAAGTACAGACTGA